AAGGCATGAAATGTGTCAAGGAGATGTCCGTGATGTACCCTATCAAATGCATTTCACGTTGGATAGACATTTACAATGACAACAAGCAATCCGAATGGAAAAATACATAAACTAGAAATCAAAATATACGTAACAGACATTGACAATGTTGAAATGCGTGAACAGCCTGAGCTAAGCAAATTTAGGTTATGAAATTAAATCTGGCGGCACACACACAAAAAAGTTTAATGTACCAATGTAATAGAGAGGTAAAATTGGAGATTAATTTCATCTAATAATGTCATGTCCAAATTATGAAAAACAGCAAAGCACATAACTCAACTTGTCAGTTCACATTTTCTAAAGCGATGTTCACCGCGTGGCACACCGCTGTACAATATTTGAGTACAAATTACATTAAAAGAAAAAATATCTGTTTGATATAAAAATAAAAGTTTTCAAAATACTTTAAAAATAACTGTACCATTAAAATCGGAATTAAATGAAGAACTGTCTTCTAAGCAGATGATTTTTCAGACTTCTCTTAAAAATATTGATATTGATTGACTGACTGGCGAATGGAGAGTGGAAGTTCATTCCACGAGGGTGGGGGAGCATACTTGCTGAAAGAACGCCAACCATATGTTTTTGTGGTACATTTTGAATCCTGACTTTTCAATAACAGTAGGTCAACCAAGTCACACATAAATAGATTGGAGCAGAATTATTTAACACTTTATAGACAGTCAACAATACTTTAAAATTTATTCTTCTACGATGCGTAGCCAATGTAAATCATGAAGTGTAGATGTAATGGGGGTCAGTTTTTTTTTTTTTTTTTTTTTTACAATTGACGAGTCTGGCTGCTGCATTTTGAACAGATTGGTGTTTATCTAGCTGAAATTGAGGGCATTCATAAAATACAGTATGTATTACAATAGTCTAATCTCGATGTTACCAAATTTATCACGTATCATGATATCAACGATATGTCAGAGTGTGAGGATTGAAATGTTTTGTGCCGTGTAAAGTGCTATTTATTTATTTATTTATTTATTTATTTATTTATTTATTTATTTATTTATTTATTTATTTATTTATTTATTTATTTATTTATTTATTTATTTATTTATTTATTTATTTATTTATTTATTTATTTATTTATTTATTTATTTATTTATTTATTTATTTATTTATTTATTTATTTATTTATTTATTTATTTATTTATTTATTTA